CAAACACACCAACACCCCCCCCCCAAAATTGGTGGGTTAATTTTTATTTTTCAACGCGTCCGCCCCCCCCCCCCGCGCCAAAAATAAAACCCCCCCCCCCCCCCCCCCCAAAAAAAAAAACGACATCAACAATGTGCCCACCTACACCGTGCCGTCAGTCTTTACAGCGGCTACCAACTTGCCCTTTTCTTTGATTCTGTCTAAGCTTCCAGATCACCTGGAGTCTTCTATTTTCGGTTACTTGTTTATGGGTCACGGCGATTTCATCACTTGATCGGGTCTAGCTCATAGGGCACACACACGAGCACAGGGACGCAACGCAGGGTATTATACTGGGGTATGACACTAGGTCATAACACTGAGTTATGGTTCGGACCCGCCTTTAGCGCACACTCGTTTGCATTGGTTGCTAATTATAGCCAATGTTTACTTTTCCATGTTTACTTTGCCAATGTACCACTCGCGTCTCACCTGTAGCTGCAACTCCATGTTCCCTCCGTAGATGCATCTCCGTAGATGCATCCGTAACTGCAGACATACAGAGGTATGCCGGCGGCTTACAGGTAACTAGACTGTTATAGGTTGTTAAATACCTCCGCGAGATACTCTTTATCTAACAAGCCAATAACTTGCTGATGAGCAAGTAGGTAAGCGAAAACCTCCTGCTTGTTGGCTATATCGTCCAGCCTGGCCAGTAATTCCTGCAATGAAAGCTGATGGTATTTGACTCCCACCCCTTTGGCAATCCCTCGCAGGTGCATATAGCACGGCGTCTCCGCTGTGTCAGCCCTCCAAGTAATATATTCCTGGATCAAAGCTAAGCTATCTTGTAGGCATCGTCTCTCACAGCTAGTGGGAGTAGACAACCAACTCTCAGGTGTCATCTGGCTGCAACCGCAAGGATGACGAGGCTCGTTCCTGAGTTGAGGCGCTATTAGGCAAAGGCTTGGGTGGTTTAAGCTGTGATTATACCTATTGTTATTGCTATAAGTTACGTTTAAACTTTCCGAGCTGCGTCCTACCGGAGCGGTATTGCTAGCGTTGTTATCTACGCTGTTCACAAAAATACTCGACTCCTCACTCGATGACACATCGTTTACCCCCAAGTTCTCTGCCGTTAGGGGTCTTTGATATATTTTAGCTGTGGCTTCGTCTGGGTTGCTAGTTATTATCGTGTTTCCCCCTTCGCCGATTGGTGTTGGAGCCTTTGGTAGCAGCTTAGACGTAGTCTCGGCGTGCGATTGCCCCTCAAACGCAGTCACTTCAGCCTCGAAAGCCCCAGACGTGCGAGTGTTGTCATCGTGTAGCTGGGTATCAATAATACCAAAGCAATTCACCTCTAATCCATTCGCGACTAGCCACCCAGGGTCAATATCCTCATAAGGGAGGATAAGGGACCCCTTCCCCCTGCCTGTCGCTATACCTAAGACGCCGTTCCTGGCGGCCCTAAGATCTGATGTGGTTATCTCCTTGTCTAGGCGTATCCCACGACCTCTTTGCATAAGACGTCTACGTATCTGGTAGTTCATCCTGCCTTTGGCCTCGTCCCAGCTCCATACACACTTAGCAAAAGACTTCAGCGCATCCAAAAACGAGCGCGAGCCTCTAAGCCGATCAGGTAAGCATCTTACCCAAGACAAGGCATCTAATTCATGCCTCCAACTGTGATTAATGGCATGCAGAGACTTGGCCTTCCTTTCCTTATCGCTGCGATAGGCCTTTTGGAATGTGATCTCATCCCGGAATAGGTCTTGGAAGGCGTCATACGAATAACCTGCTGCTTTGTGTGCCCGAACGTCCTCGGCCACGTACTGCAGCAGTTTATCAAAACTTTCTTCATTCGCCTTAGCGCATTGATAGGCGTCACGTATGATAGCCACCTCGGCGGCAAACCTGTCTTTATCATCCCCAATATTTTCAATATACGGGATAAAATCGAGTAGGTTTGGATATTGGAGTTGACGGTGGTAAAGCTTAGAAGCCATAGTATTAACTAGCAGCAATCAATAAAGCTAAGCTATGTTTACGCAATGATTTGCAATATCATAATAAGGCAAGTTGACCACCATAAACCCGTACCGCCCGAGATCCCTAAATACATAAGCTAAAAACAAAGGAACAAAGAGGTAATAGAGGCGGCAAAGTCCCGGGAAAGGGCCGGGACTTTAAGCACAAGGGATTATTCGTCAAAGATGCTTAACTTGCCTTGCTGCTCTTGCAGTATTGCCGTTATCTTCAGCCAAAATGGCGTTATAGTATCGATGATACCATCCGCCTGACAGCTTTCCAAAGCGCTATCGCGTAGCTACCACTCTTCATTTTCGTCATTCTCTTCTCCAACCACCCCGTACAGCCGCTGACCCTCCTCGCTTTCGATAATTAGGCCATTTTCGTCATGTAATACAGGCAAATCCTGCTGTGACGATACCCGAGCAGGTCGAACGATCTTAGCGTTAAAGTCGTCGATTTTGCTATTTGCCAGAAGCTCTGCCCCTATGTGCAAAATATCTGGCGCGTCGAACGGGGCTTGCGTCGCTGTAGACTCATCTACACGCCTTTTGGTATTACCATCGCGGTATAATTTGCAGGCATACTCCATAACCTCATTAACGGTAGATACTGCTGAGTGCTGGCCACTTTGACTAGAATGAAACGTGTTCTCTAGGCTAACCCGGTTAGCCGCAGTATACGGCCCAACAACAGATAGGCGGTTAAAAATAACAGATGTATTACGAGTCGAGTTTTTGTTATTTTTAATATCAAGGGCAAACGCGTTATTGACGTGCTCCAATGCTAGGTCGATAGCTTTCCAGCCACTCCCAGCGGTAGTACACCGGACAAGACCCGACCGGAGAATACCCGTAGCTAACTCTGGATCGGAGACATCTGGGTGAAGGAGCCAGGCAAAGTACAACATTTCCGGACCGTAATTGCTCGACTTTCCGCCGTAGAAAAAGAGCGGCAATTGGGGTATAATTTGCCGCAATACGCCATAGTCTCCAAGTTGGACAGCAGTTACCATCATTAGCAAATAGCTAATAACTACCATATATCGACAACAGCTTCGGAAATTAACGTCGATAAAGCTGTTTTGCTCATCTATATATTCACCAGTCCAGGCTTGAGGGCTAAATATTCGGTTTTGTATAGCCGATAGCTTGTCTTCTAATACCTTAGGGGCGATTTCCTTTAAGACCTCGCTAATGGATTTAGAATCAACACTGCTTTCCGGCAAATCACCTGCGCAAATAAGATCGTCTATTAAAAAAGCGAAGATGCGAGCGTTAAAGGCGTCCCGTAACAGAGGCAGGGCTTGGTGGTACTTGACGCGGTCTTTCCCAATATGTTGACCACGGTCAAAAAACTGTACGTCCTCCAGGACCAACGGATCCCAAAACGTGCGAAATATCAGCTGCACGAAGTTTAGCATGATATGAAAAAACGCAGGGACAGGGACCAGCCATTGCTTTCGATCGTAAGTCTCCCCGGCTTCAAGCTGGGTGGCTACAATAGCTCGAATATAAGAGGTGGTCTTTTGGTCTCCGTGTATGATTGCTAACCGTTGGTCGTATTGGCTATAATCGAGCAGGCTGCGAAATAGCTTATCATGAACTCGGTAAACGCCTGATATTTCCCCCTCGTTTTCATTGATAGCAGGTGTTTGCACAATATAACTGACATTATGCTTAGGCCTGGCAACCCTTGGAAAAGGGGCAACGTTTTTAAGGGCGCCCATTTTAAAAATCGATCGAATTGAGTCGACTACCAAATATTTAATAGCCTTGGCTTCGCATTTCGGGGGGGGGATGAGGTAAGTAGCCAGCCATTTTTTCTGAAATGATACTGTTGCACGCCATTGAGACTGAAGAAACGGGCCATGCACGTCAGGGCTGGCTATAATAAGACAGTTGGTTAGGTTCTGCATAATGTCTTTACGGCCTAAAGCCAAATCCCGAACGCTATCTTTAAAATTGAAGTTATCGTAAACAAATACGGCATTTGGGTCGTGGGCAATGCGCTTAAGACTATCCTATCTTCTATTAGCCTGATATATCGGCTAACCTAGGGCTATCAATACCAACTTTTGCTTGATCAGCCATTTCTTTTAGTCGCGTGAGAATACTCTTATATCCCAAACATACGCCAAACTGAGCCAACGTTTCTATCACCCGACGTTGTACCCCACTGCTATGAAGGTATATGCCGATAGATACAGGTAGCATATTGCTTCGCCTAGGCGCGTAGGCGCCTAATAATAAGGCAACAATCATATATGCCCTAGCCTCATGTGAAAAGGCAGTGTTGGTTTTGGCCGTCATGTACGACATCTGGCCAGCTCGCTCGTTGGCAAGGATAGCTGTTAATAACGCACTAAGCTTAGGTGCTGTAGCTAGTATTTGAGGCCAAGAGGACCGGTGGGCGCTATTAATCCAATCCGTATTGCAGATATCTTTGACAGCACACGGCTCATTACCTTCCGCAACAAATGATTTAGGCTCGAACATGCCAAAGGCAGGTTGACACACCAAAGCAGAGAGCTCCCTCCGGAGCTCGAATGCGTAATCTTCGTCCTTATTGCTCTCATCACTATTGCTCTCATCACTATTGCTCTCATCACTTTTATCATTTTTGTTAATGCCCTTGCCCTTGCCCTTGCCCTTGCCCTTATTTCGAATGTGTATTTCAACGCCGGCTTCGTTTAAACGCTCTTGGATTTGAGGGTCTTTAAGTATTTGAACCATTTCGCGAATTCTCCTGCCGCTGCCCCTCGCATTCGCTGCCTTTGTCAAAAGCCATCCCTTTATAAAGCGATTAAAGTTATAGCCATGGGTCCGGTTCTGCGTCTTCCAGTATTCCAACGTCTCAGCTGCAATCACTTCTGGCGTCTGCTTGAAAGCCGGTGCGGGGTTCTCGGCGGGGTTTTCGGCGGGGTTTTCGCTATTACTCTCGCTAGATTCATTGTTGGGGTTATCATCTGCCTCTTCTTCAGGGACAGGTATAGGCGGTATAGTATTAGGAGGATTGGTTGAACTAGACGCATGAGCCGGTATAGCTGTACTTTCGCCATATAATAAACGGCGTCGAGGGGGTTGAGGGGGCCTGCGACGTTGAGGAGGGGAGGGCAAAGGAGGCAATAATGGCGAGGTTGGAGGGGGAGGCGACAATGGCGAGGTGTCCATGATTACAATTATAATGTAATAATGATAATAATATAATTGATAGATATTATTATATTATAAATGATTCAATATTAATTGAATGTTAAATATTGCAATTGCAATTATTGTAGGTGGTTATTTGTAAGGGTAAAACTTTTGGAAAACAGGAACGATTTTTAATAGGGACGTGTCCAGAGTGACCTCAGACCAGAGTTTTGAAATTTTTGGGGGGGGTTGTGCCGGGTTGTGATTGGTTGGGGGTGGGTGTGGCTGGGGAGGTACAACCCCCCCCAAAAAAAAATTTCAAAAATCTGGTCTGAGGTCACCTGAGATAACTAAGGTAGTACATACTACGGTTGACCAGACAAGCCATTGTGCCAAAATGAAAAAAATAATCGCACACTAAACTAAAGTTGGTAGGAGGTCACTTGCCACAATTTAGAAAATATTAAATATATACTTTTAAACCTTATTACGGTTTATTGTAATAAGATTATTTACTTAACCAATATAATGTAAAAAATTAACCAATTAAATTAAAAAATTTAATTATTAATTTAATTGTTAATTTAATTATTTATTTAATTTTTAATTATTACATTTATACATTTAAATAACTTTATAATTTTAATAATTATAACATTAAAATTAATATCATTTTATAACTTTAATTAAAACGAAAATAAATATTTAAATTACATATTTATATAATATATTATTATTAAAATATTTAAAATTTTTTAAAAACAATCGTTTTAAAAAATATTACGTATACGTATAAGTTTTTAAAATAATAAATATTTAAATACGAAATAACTTTTTATTTTTTTTAAAATACGCGTTTTTTTATTGGTTAAATTTTACACCGCTCGTTTAATAATATTTTTATTTATTAAAATGGTAACAATGTTACCGTATATTACATAATACAAAAGGTAAAAAATAATAAGGTAATTCGAATAAAATGGTTTAATTAATTGGTTTTAATTAAATAAAAAAAGGTAAGAGATTTATTAAATAAAGAATATTTATTTACATATATATAAATTAATTTTTAAACAATATATATAGGCATAACTTTAATCATATGACATGATCATATAATTAATATCCCATCATTAACAACTTTTCTTTTCTTCTTGTATTGCTACGTAATCACGCCTTTAAAACCAAGCGCCCAAACGTAAATTTAAACGTAAGTTTTACGCAATATAAAATCGCCTTTTTTTTGTAAATTTTCTTTTTTTTTTTTAAATTAATTTAAACTAATACTATTTTTTATAACAATAATCTTTTTTATATATTTATAATATTTATTAAATATTAAATTAACATATTTATAAAATAAGTAATTTTGTGTTAATAATATTATTATGTTATAATTAATTAACGGCTTGGTGTCGCAGGTAATAAAACATATTGCTATTATTTTAAAACAAATAGTAAATTAATTTCGGATATTTATTTTACCTTTCGTTTAACATACGGTAATTACTTTAACTAAATGTTAACGTTATATTAATAGCCGGAAATTATACATTAATATACCGATTTATTATTGTTAATTTGTAAAAATAGTTATTAAAACTTAAATTAATAATTTAAATATTTGTCTGGTATATATTGTAATATGCATTATATAATTATTTATTAATATTTTTAAAATATTGTTAAAAATACGCAGTAAAATTTAAAAAAATACTTATAAGAAATAAAAAATAAAGGTTAAATAAATAAAGTCCGCACGATTTAATAACGCCGTAAAATTATTTAAAAACAAAATAATCGTTTGGTAAATATTGCCGAAAAGATTTACATTAAATTAAAAAATGCTGTTGTAAAAATTTGGTTTTTTTGCAAAATAACTAAAACGTTTTTTACGTAATTTTTTAAAATACGTTTTGAAATATATTTCGATTTATATGTTAAATATTTTCTTTGTTAACGGCCTTTTTTTTTTTAATAAGTAAACGATTTTTGTAGTTATTTTTTAATAAATTTGATATTTGTTTTGTTGTTTCCGTTAAACATGGGATTGCTGTAATAATAGACTGGAAATAAAAGTTTTTATTAGGTTTTAATATTTCGATAACGTTTTTTGGTTACGTTTTTTAATTTTTTTTAACTTAACTTTATAACTTTATAATAAGGCAGTTGGTATTAATAAATGTTTTTAGTGCTTTATTAACATTTAATTTAATTATAGCGTTGGTTAAGTTATTTTTTTCATAAATTTATTTAATATTATTTATTTTTTGTTGTTTATATAATTGTTGTAATGACATTATATTAATTATTAGTTGTTTTTTTTTTGTTATTTTAAGTTTAACGATATATTTGTAAAGTAAAAATAAATTAATATATACGATTATTAAGATGGGTGGGAGTTTTAGTTTTTTAAAAATTGACGTTACCGTTATGCCGATTGTTATAGCTATATTTATGCCGTAAATTATGGCGTATATTTTATTTGTTAAAACGTTTTTAATAACTTGTTTACATTTTGTTAAATTCTAGTAGATTAGGTTATTTTTCATGGTAAAAATCTCGTTATTGTTGGTTTTGTTAGCAATAAATATTTCGTAGCTGATTTAAAAATTTAAATCTTTATTATTTGTAAATAATTTGTTTATAAAAATAAATATTTTAGTTATTGTTAAATTTAGTAGGACGTATTAGAGGTTACGTTAAAGATTGTTAAGTTGCCATTAAAATTTCCTATTAAATTTGGTAATTTCGTCTTTATCCGGTTTTTAATGCTGCGTTGTCTTAGATATATCGAACGTTACTTTTAGTTGGTATATAGTAATTATATAAATACCGCAGGTTTTTTACTGTACGTATTATTGCAATGTATTTACGTTAACTTTTATAATTTTAATTTTTTTGCCTTAATCTTTTTGGCGTAAATAAATATTACCTTTTAAATTTTTTAATATTATGTATTTATTAAAGATTATAGCGTCTTTTTCTGTAAGGTACGATTTAAGTTTCGTTATTAAGTTTACTTTTTATATCTTTTCGTTTTTTAGTTTATTAAATATTTCGTTTAATATCCTTAACGTATTATCCGTTTATATTACAATTAATCCAAATAGTTTTGTTAAATTTAATATTAAGAAATATAGGTTATATAATAATATGGTTATAAAAAGTTTTTTTTTATGGTGTTTAAAGTATGTAAATCATTAATATATCTTTATTTTGGGAATTTTGTAAAAGGGTTTAATCATAGTTATTACCGTTATTTTGGGGAATATGTGCTTTAGTTCTTTTGGTAATTTTGTAACAATTGTCCGGTTTAGGTTCGTACTAAACTGTGTATACGTTTAAGTTACGTTTTGTAACCATATTATAATTTCCTTATCTTTTACGGTTAAAGAAAATATAAACGCAATAACGATTTACTGGCTAAAACGTTATATTGTTAAAAATTGGATAAATATTGCTTTTTTGCCTTTATTATTATATTTTTATATAATAAATTTTAATTTTTTATATGGTTTATTAATTACTTTTCTTTTAATTTTATAAATAATTTTTAAGTTAAATAAACGGATATTTTTGTGTTTTTTTTTATTGTATTATTTAAACAAAAATACGCCTTTTCCAATTAATCTTTCGACTTTTTATTTATCGGATTTCTTAAATAATTATTTTAACGTGGTAATTTTTTTTTCCTTACAAAACTTTACCGCAAATTTTACGTTTGCGATTTTTTTTAAGGATGAGTAATTTACATTATTGGTTTTTTTAGGCTTATTTTTATTACTTAACGGTTATCCCCGTAATTTTTTAACTACTAGTGCCTTAATTTTTGGCATAAAATCGTTTGTTATATCGTTAAAATTAAGATTGCAATCGGAATCGTCGTTTTTGTTATTTAAAGGATTGGTTGTTTCGTTTTAATAATAAAGTTTTACGGCAATAATGTAAAATTTAACTGGTTTATCGTTAACTTTAACAACGCACGCCTTATTATTGCGCGCAATAAACTTGTAAAATCTTATCCAACCTTTATTTTTTTGATATATTTGTACTTTTAATTACAAAAGGAATTTTAATATACTTATTGTACTCGGTCCATTTTTCATACCTAATGCATTGCTCATTTATTGCCGTGTTTTAAACTTTTGTACCTCTTCCATTGTTTTTCGCATAACTGTAATACGTATTACCATTAAAAAAGTAAATAGCAAATTTTCGGCCAATTTAAGGTATGTACCGAATATAAATAATATAAAAACAAAACTATTTGGTCTTATTATATCGTTAACCGCTTTAACAACTATTTATAAAACGTAATATATATTTGTTTAAATGCCTTAAAAATTTTTTAATATAACCTTATATATACGTTATATTAATCCGTAATACCGTTTTAACTACCCGATCAAATTATATACTTTAACTAACACTTTTTCGGTCATAATTAACAATCCCTTTACGTTAACTACAAATTTATTTGCAATAAAATTTATACCTACATCAAATATAAGTTTATCAAACAATCCGAAATAACTATCCATCCATATCATTCTTAACATATCCCAAATATACTTAGCAATCATATTTTTTAAGAACTTCGCTGCTTAAAACAACATTACCTCATCAACAACATAAAACACCGGTTTATTTTTAATATACATTACATTAACGTATACATTATAATTAAAATTAATATTATTTTTTATCGTAAACTTAAACCTTCCCAGTGCATTTCCGTACATCTAACATTAATAATAATATTTATTAATTTTTTTAATAACAGTTTTATTTAATTTATCGTATCTTACTTTATTCAAAATATTATGGAATTGTTTTGTTACAAAATGGCCAAATTGTTAATAAATCTGGCAAAATTCGGTTTCCGTAAAGTAACAATATACAACTATTTATTTTCAATTATCCAGTAAAAACCATAAATATCCCCATTTTCAAACAATAAAATAATTTTTTTTTTTATAAGTTAACACATTTTCCACATTATTAAAAAATATACCAAATTGGTCCATATCTTTTAAACATAATAAAAATAATATATTAAAAGGCATAATATAAAATAAAATGGTCCCAAATAAAATAAACACACAAGCAATTCCCAGGTTTCGCTGGTTTAAATTGTCACCGAAACAAATCAAATAACGTCCAACCGTTACTATATCCATCTTAATATAAAGATGCGTTTATTATAAGGTTTACATCTAAAGCTTTCCTCCTATTAATACGCCTACTGCCCTTATATCGGGCAATATACCTTAAAATATACGTAAATATCAGTTCTCTAAGTAGAAAACTGCTAAAGTTTCGGAATGTTTTAATTCGCTAAATACATCCGATCTTATAAACGCGTAATATATAACTTAATTTACAAAAATACCTGCCACTTAATAACCGTCAATTTCACCATATATTATAAAATATTGGTCAAAAAGTGGTAATATCCGATATTTATCCAACAAATCGCCATCATATTCATACTCCAAAAGCCATATATTATAATCGTTTCCTTCGCTTTTATCATTATATTTGTCATCAACACCTTTATACTTAATCAAAAATCTCTTAAAATTCTCTTCCGTATTTCCAAATCTTTACTTTTATACATATTTTCGCCACTATCTATACTTTCTTCGTCACTCTTCAGCAAAATACTTTATAAACCAACATTTAAACTTTTTACATACAAAACATTTCTTTCCGCTGTTGCATTTATTGTAATGCTTTTCCTACAGTCTATTCTAACAAGGTTATAATTACTTTAAATACTTATTATTCTAATACGTTTAATTGGTTCAATATTAAATATTTATTTTTATTATTTAATCTTTTTAAATTTAATATTTTTATACAATTCTAATTATATTTTAAAATTTGGCGTAAAAACTGTTAAACGTAATTGTTAAACATATTAATATATTATTAAACGCTAAATATCTTTATATAATATTAAATATTTTTTATATTAAATAATATTTATTAATATAATTAATTGCTATTTCCTTATATATACGTTAAATTTTTAAAATAAGTATTTTAAGGTATATTACCAAAGTATTATTTAAATTTTTATTTATAATATTATAAATAATTATTATTATAAATTTTTATATATATATTTGCACATTTTTTACGGTATAAAATATATTTTTAAAACGAGTAACCATTTCTTAAAAAGTTAATCTTTTTTTTATAAAATAATTATAATAATATTATAATATACATTTTTTTAATATTATAAAAAACGTTTTATAATAATTGCACTTTTCTATTTTAATTTTATTATATATATTTTTAAATATTTTTATTTTTTTATTTAATATATTATATTTTTTTACTCTAAATTTATTATTATTATAGTTATATATTTTAATAAAATTAATAAGTATTTATAATAAATTAGTTTAATTTATTTAAAATTGGCTTTTAAAGTATTAATTTATATAATATTATATTAAAGGTTAGTATAAGAAAAGTTGGTATAAAAAGGATTAATATAAAAAAGATTGGTATAAAAAAAAATAATTTATAAAATATTAATATTTTTAAGGTTAAAAAGGTTAATATAATTAATACGGTTAATATTTTTTTACTAATAGTTAATATATCAACTATTAATACCTTCTTTATAAAAGTTAATATATTTATATTTAAGGTTAATATATTTAAAATTAACTTATTTAATTTTAATATTTTCTTTATTAACCGTGATATATAATTATATAATAACTTTATATTAATAATAAATAAACATTCGACTAATTGTTTACCAAAGGTAAATATATATGCGGTTGGTTTGTTAAATGCCGAATTATATATAGTTAATTTATTTAAAGTTAAACAAATTAATATATATATACCCGACTTGCCGGAAGCGGATACGAAGATAGTTATTAAATTGTTACCGGTAACAACTTTTTATATGTTATTTGTTTAAATCTTACTTTTAAGTAAAGTGTTAACTTGTTTATATAATTTAATAAACCAATTACTTTTCGATTATTTTTTAGTTTTATTACCCTTTTACCTTTATCTATTAATTATTTTGGGAATTTTATTAATAAATTTAATTATATCTTTAATATTGGTTAATTTAATCTTTTTAATCCGATTATTAGTAAATTTAATAATTACGGTTGTTATATTAATATTATAAATTTATTTATTATATTTTTTAACTTTTTAACATATTATAAATTTAACATTAAAATAAATATATTTTTTTTTATATAATTTTTTATTATTTCTTATAAAAACGCCGGGAAATTTTTTATATTTAATATATTATAAAACTTTTAATCAAATGGTTTATTTTTAAATATATATAATTTATAATTTATAAAATATTTTTTTATATTTTTTTTTAATAATCGATCGATTTTATTAAATATTATCACGTTTTAGCTGTTAAAATTTGTTTGGAACGTATCTTAAAGATCTTTGTTATATTAATTATTGTTATATATAATAAATCTTTTTATATAATATATATTTATAGTTTTTAAATTTATCTTTTTAATTTGGTTTATATTTAAATCGTTATTTTTAAAATTATCGTATATATACTTTTCCTAATTAATATGTCTTCTTTCTATTACCGTTATTTTAAATTGTAATAAAATTTTAATAAATTTTTCTTTATTATTTTATAATTAACCTATAAGTCAATTATTAATTAATGTTAAAATGGCAACAATATTACTGTATATTATGTAATATAAAAGATAAAAAATAATAAAATAATTTAAATAAAATGGTTTAATTGGTTGGTTTTAATTAAGTAAAAAAAGGTAAAAGATTTACCAAATAAAAAATATCTATTTACATATGTATAAGTTAATTCCCAAACGGTATGTATAAGCACAACCCTAGTCATGTAACATGGTCACATGACCGATGTCCTATCATTATTTTTATTTTTATTTTTACACCACATTTTTATTATAACTTTATGTTTAATTTAATTCAATTTAATTTAAATAACAATATAATGGTTATTTATTTTTATACATTACTTTTATTTAATCGCATACATTAGTTAAAAATTATACGGTTACATATAATTATTTCGAAATAAAAAGGTTAAAAACAAAATCTTTTTAAATAATCTTTAATATATGTAAATATATATGTATAAAACTGGTTAACAAATTAACTAATTAACTAATTAAAAAGTTATATTATATAAAGTTATTTAATTAATACTTTTAATTATTTTTAAAAAACTTTAAATATATTAACAATAATATATCGTATAAACATATAATTTAAATATTTATTTTCGTTTTAATTAAAATTATAAAATAATACTAATTATAAAGTTATAATTATTAGAATTATAAAGTTATTTAAATATATAAATACTTTAATAATTAAATCTTTTAATTTAATAAAAAATTACCTTTTTAAAACATATTATATATAACATTATAACGTATATATTTAAAAAAGATAATCTTTTTTCCCCATACAAAAGTGCGAAATACCGTAATAATTCGAGCTAATTGCACTAACCTGTGGCTAACTACCCTTTTAAACTAAGCTCACATATTTTTTTCATTTTGGCACAGTGGCCTGTCTGGTCAACCGTACATACAGCAGTTTTGGCAACGTACATCATCGTGAACCTAGCAACATAATAATCCAATCAATTTTATCAAATGAGATCCCGTCATAAGTGATGTCACTTATGCGTTTGATGATGACGACCGTCCAATTGCATATCATCTCATTATATTTTACTATCAGTGTTGGCCGGTTGGTACGAAATACCTATGGTAGTAATGATTGAAACCTCAAACTGGCTAAAAGGGGCAGCTGTGATCTTTGATGGAACCGCCTTAACTTTGTATGTATAGCTGGTTTCTGGGTTTAACGCTAAAGTCCGATGTCCTACATGTACTCTTGAAGTTACCGAAATACACCATGAATGCCCAATCTTAGGTAGTATCAATGTCCATTATTGTTCTACACTCGTTTACATTGGGTACACAATTCAGTTTCATGCTTATAAACACAGGTACTTATAAACATTATGGCCCGCATCTTCATCACTGGATCATCAGATAGCCTCGGCCTCGGTATACGCTCAGCACAAGCTCTAGTTAAGCGTGGACACGATGTCTATCTACATTCCCGAAATAGCCAAAGAGCGCAGGATGCCCGCACGGCCTGCCCCGGAGCCAAAGATGTCTTCGTCGCGGACTTAGCGTCTATGGAAGAGATCAAATCTTTGGCGAAACAGCTTAACCAGACCGGTCCCTGGGACGCCATCGTCCACAACGCCGTGCACGCCGGGCCCATGCACGGCGTCGCTAATCCCAGAAACGAGGAGGGAATTCCTGTACTCTTCGTCGTTAACACATTAGCGCCATATATTCTGACTTCTCTGATAAACCCGCCGCCAAAGCGCTATGTATTCGTCTCTAGCGGCATGCACAAGGGTGGTGATCCCTCCTTACGCAATATCCAGGAGTGTAGTTATAGCGATAGCAAACTACACAATGTCTTATTGTCGTTCTGGTTCGCACGCCATCTCGCCAATAAAGGCGTTCTGAGCAACGCTATGAGCCCGGGATGGGTTGCTACCAGGAGGGGCGGCTCGTCAGCGCCAGACAATATCGACGCGGCCGTCGATACCTACGTCTTACTGGCTGAGGGGTCAGGAGTTGCTGAAGGCGAGACGGGGAAATATTGGTATCAGACTCAAGCCCGGAGTTCTAGTGGCTCGGGCCATGAAACAAGCTACTTAAAAGCACTTGATGACGAAGCCCTACAGGATCAGTTGATCCAGATCCTTGAGAAGCTCTCGGGCGTCAAGCCGCCCGAGTAAGGTTGTTATTTATCAATCATGGATGGCTAGCTTCGATACATCAAGCATCGGCAGGCATGTGTCATGTCCGAAGTAGTATCCTTTACATGTTGTGGATGTTATGATAACGCCGTGTCTCTTAAGTTACAGAGCTCTCGTGATATGCTGGACCAATATACCTACCTATGGTTGGTGCATACGGAATGTACTCGAATAAGTGGTAAGCTGAGTTGTAAATGTTATAAAACAGCAGAGATATAAAATAAATATAAGTACTATTTTACTTAACACTACACCAGTCTTGAACTCATCGGAAAAGCTGATCATGTCTAACCATCATCATCCCTCGCCAACTAAACAGCTTTGGCTCCCTATATCCCTAGAGGAAGTTACCGCCTCATGGCTTACTCAAATACTCGGCCATAAGGTCAAAGCTGTCGAGCATACAAGCTCGATTCTCAAAGCGAATGCTGGCAAGCTTTTTATCACTTTGACTTGTGACGACGATGTAGATTCTATGAAGTCTAACGAGAAGAACCCTAAGACGGTAGGTTCCGACCCCTAGCTATCCAACCTAACCCAGAGTCTTCCAAGGGTTTGTAACTCTAAGGAATTGCCCCAGTGAACTGGTCTGACATAATTATGTGTAGGATAGACCGAATAAACTCTGTATTAAAGGGAGAGCAGTACTCGAAAAATACTTCACGTCCAGGAATCCCAAGTTTCAATGCCTAGTACACGGTGATGCTCACATCGGCAACACATTCCTTATCAAAGGAGAACCGCGATTTCTCGATTGGCAAGCAGTTCATATTAGCTCTGCCTTCCACGACGTGTCGTATTTTATAGCTAGCAGTTTGACCGTCGAAGACAGACGAGAGCACGAGATGCGCATTCTCAATCACTACCTCGATGAGTTGAATATATACGGCGGTGCATCCCTCTCGAGCCAGGATGAAGATCTTATGGTAGAGTATCGAAAGTCCATGCTCGCAGGCCTGGTTTGGCTCTTGACACCTTATGAGTTGCAAAAGGAAGAACGCATTCGTGCAATGATCGAACGGCAAGCTACGGCCCTAATAGACCATCGAGTAATCGAGCTTATAGAATCCCTGCCTGATGCGGAATAGGGAAATGTGCGCGATAGGATCTTAGGACTGTATTAATATCTAGTAAGGATCTCGATAGAATGCTGTGGCTAATAACTCCCATGGATATGTTCATCTTGGTAGCATCAGACTTATCGGTACCATTATGTGATTCTTCTCTCCCTAATAGGTCAAATGTATCTAGAATCTATGTCTAAGACGTAGTATAGTTACATCTAGGCCACCTTTCAAAGACTTTATTTCGATTCCACCAAGACCGCCATGTCACCTACTTACCCGGTACTTACTTTTGGATCGGGATGTGAGAATTTGCATACGACACTGGCTAAAAGCTGCATGGTCCATGATATTCATTATATAGTTTTTATTTACAATTCATATTGATAGCTTCTATCTAACAGAATGACCACTTTCCGAGCTTGGCATATTAATACTAAGAGGCTTAGAGATCTATACAAGCATAAGCTCCAGTCGTTTCTTGTAATTGATGAGAGCACATCCTTAACCCGAATTTCTTGCTGGTTTCTATTCTCTCCGCTCGTAGCGATGCGAGTTCTTGTGTATATACTCGGATATGGCATATTTCTTTTGTCAGGCGATACACTGGCTCTATTCCGGTACTCCAGTCGCCGCACGCGTCACAGGCGGGCATCGGGTGATTGAATATAAAAGTATATAGACCTCTAGGTAGATATCCCTAGCACGCCCACTAGACTCAATCGAATCCTTCTTCATTGTCATCATCGGATGTGGCATAGTTGACTTGTATGAATCTTAGACAAGGGTGCCTGGATTGCAAGAGGTAGCTTCTAGGCCTAATGCCGCAGATCGATGGTTAGTGAGTGATTTATCGATCTCAAGAAGGGGAAATGCCCGATTATAACATATCCCTATGCACCATTGTCCATCAACACTAAACGAAGAATCAATTGAAGACTATATGAATGCGATATAAGCTCTAGGCTTGGCATGTCATCGACAAGACGCACCTAGGACGTAGGGGGCTCATGCTTCAATACCTAGGTAGTCTGGGGAATGTTCTTGTGTCGGGGTTATAGATAGATTCCCTTATAATCAAGGGCCGGAGGTGCTCAATGTCCTATGCCATTGGAAATGCTGAGAGGAGGAAGATGAGACCAATCATATAGATGAAGGCAGATAGCGCTACAAAATGACGCTATAATGAAAAATATGTCCAAATATTTGCAGTTTAAAGATACGGACTGAGACTGCGTCGATAGTAGCCGAAAGAGCAAGTAAGGCAATCCACGTCGACAACTCTCTTGAGCTTAATTTTCCTAGGCAAGTCTACCAAGGCCTCACGAAATGACATGGCCGTGCGAGCATAAAGAATATGGTTGCTTGCGAGACCAGCCTTCTTGAGATACTCGACGTATGGAACGAAGCCGAACTCATCTCTTGAAAGACCAGTTAGTACTTTAGAAGTAGGGGTAGTAACAGGGACAAGAACGTCAGCCTGAGGAACTAGCACGACGAATAATTCTTCGAGCTCCGTCATAGATTCAAGTACTTCGCGGATGGGATCCGTCGGACCGAACGGGATGGCCCTATCAAATTCGCTCTGTGGCACGAGCACGGCCAATTTCCTCACACTGTCTCGCCAGGGAACGGAGCGCATCGACCAGAACGCTTGCTCAGCATTCGAGACACAGAGGTAGAGCATATCGCGGTCCCAGTCAACATAGACGGGGCGCGCTTGCGGCCGCGTGTCGTTGCACTCGTCGGGTACATTGGAAGCAAGTGTTAGAGCGAATTGGAGAGGCACGCGAGCTCGGCCTGAGGTAACTGAATCTGCAAGATCCTTGCCGAAAATAACGGGTGTCCAGATACGCTTGCACGAGAGGGCTATATCATAAGCCTCATGGTTGATCAATGGGGACGGAGGTCGCTCATCTAGAATGACGAGATTGGTAGCCGAGTCTAGAACGGTGCAGCAGAATAGAAGAACCTCCCTCTTTGGATTTCGCATTTGACTCTCAGGGGAGGGATGGATCACGTGAATACGAGCACTTTCAAAGTGGTACTCCCAGATTAGAATACGGAGTTCTTTTGGGAGGTGGTTGAAACATTCGAATGTATTGAGTGAAGTCATCTTGAGACTTGAGAGCACAATTGCGGTGGTTGTAGCGAGGGTTGGGAAGACGAAGATGTCGTCGTCAAAGAATTCTAGACTAGAGTGGAGTATTTGTCAGGTACCTAGGTAGGTTAGAGATCATGCGATAGGTAACAAAGACGGTAACACGTTTTTAATAATCATGTTACCTACTAGGTAGAAAGGCGCATCTAGTCCCACCACGGAACAAGGAAATCTATATGTTAAGAAATTAAACGAATAATAGGTACCTACCTGTTGCTTTAGAAATGAACTTTATGAGGTCGCGCATACCGTACTCCCGTTGCGGGACTTCAAATTCTATGCTATGGCGCTTGTTACTTACAAGTACCTACAGGCGGGTGCCTATGGGTGTGGAGTCTTTTATACATTATACATGTGTAAACTAATAGGTACATAGGTACATAGGTACACACATCATATATCATGTGGAGAGGCTTATCTAAGTACCTAATGTAAAGATTCCAATTACATAAGCTGAGCACCACCGGGGGGGAATGAAAAGGAGAGCAATAAATTATTTAGCAGTGCGCCTCATTGCAGCTGGGAAATCTATAAAACTCCTCAATCAACTACCCAACTACCCATCAACCTATCTAAAAGTTCAACACAGAATGGGATTTATAAACTATGTATTCTCAAAATACATCTCGATTCAGGGGTCAAAAGTAAAAAGCTAGTTAGATAATCTCCACGGTCCCCATTGGCCTGCCCCGAAAGTATTTCAAGCCGCCGCGTTCCCGAGGTACGGATAGAAATACGCCAACGCGAAAATACTTCCCTGGCTCGGGAGCGAGTTGATCGATGATACCGTAAGCATAGGTACCTTTCATCGTCATCGCTAGGCCGTGACAGTCTCTTATGTCCATGATAAACCTCTGACCTATGTCGCTGATATTCTATTTTCGCATCAACTCTTTTATCATTCATGTTACCTGCCGTATGATCTTGACACGAATCGTAGATTAAATGGTCTTGCATCATTCCTCCTCCTTTATCATTGCCATGGCCACGATGATAATGAACTCTATGAATGACTCGCTCTCTACGCAGACTCGCAGCATTGGGGCGTCCCCTAACGACGAACGTGGCCATGGTAATATCTACGGTAATATTTATATATTCGCCTATCTTCTCTTCCGGCTTGTCAACCAATTCATGCTCGTACACGAGCCTAATTGGTTCCCAAGAGAGACCTTCAATGTTGCGGCTTCCAATCAACACTAAAAATAGGTCCTCAAAAGTCTCTCCGCCATAAATCTCATTCCAATCGAAGCTGAGGTCGGCAATATACTCGCCATCTTCGACCAGCCGACATAATTTGCCGTTTCCATCTACACTTGCGAGTAGCTGCACGTGGGCTATGAGAGGCACGACAGTTCCGTGAAGAGCGAGATCTCCTGTTTCTATGCCGCCGAATAAATCCACGCCTGTAATTGACGTTTTCGCGTGTACGATACGACATTCTGCCCGGACATCGAGAAAATCTGACTCCTGCGAAACTAGTCTAAGCTGCCCATCACCAAACCTCACTGGATGGTTTCGGCTAGCCCAGCTCCAAGATGGCGCAACATAGGGGTTCTGGGACTTCAAGTTCTCAACCAGCGCTTCTCTTGAGATAAGAGCAGCAGGTTGACGAAGTACAGATGTCCAAAACAGGTCGATATGGGGGAGCACATGTCCTGCGTAATACGCTCCCCCACTGAATAATCGACTAGCAAGTCCCGATATCGCGGGAAATTTGTCGGAACGATGGGTAAGCTTCATTGTTGAATAATTCTCGACTAAGGATAAGAAGTTCAGGTATTTATTCAGCTCGTTACGGTTGCCTGGGAGAAAACTAGTTCCACGAGTGCATTCCGACATATCTACAGTCTCGTTTGCTTCTGATTGAACGCCATGTTCGGTAATAACATGTAACTTGGTCCTCGTAAACATGAGTGCCCGCTGTGATAACTCATATTCCTGAAGTGTCCACCCTCTCGTAGCCCAATGACTATAAGTTAGGGCGAGAGATAGTCCATCAGCAGTCGCGTGAAAGTAATCGTTCATCTCGCCGACGAGCCGGAGAGTGTAGGATCCAGATACGGCCTTGTTGATTCTGGACCGAAACTTGATTCTTGTCATTGTCCAGCCCCTACTGAGGAATCCTTCCTGACAAGACGTCGAAGCGGGAGTACAAATTGTCAGGGTGGCATTTTGGAATATTAGAGAAATCTGCGAAGATTCCCTGTACCAATCCTGTTTATCGTCTTGAATAATACAGACCGCATCCACCCAAAGATACCGTATTCCCAGAGTCTGCGTAACTCGAATAGCGTCTTGCAGGATCGGGGAAGTTTGGTCAAAGCTAAATCCGCATATTCTTTCTTGCAACGAGCTTGTTTCCGTCTTGAATTGCCGAGAGGACTGTTCCGGGGACCCCCAGCAATAGCTTAGAGTTGCATATTGGATATCAGATGATTGCATGAATATGGGGTCTGATTTTGTCTCGACAAGTCGACATGAGTCTGTTCCCTTTATTCCAACGTCAATTAAACGGGTTGGGTACGTCGCTCCATTCAGAGATATCCGTACAGGGTTGCTGCGTTCGAATCTATTGAAAATCATTTCAAGATTATCAGTGCATAAAGCTTTATCCCAAGGGGGCGACTGAAGTCCCAGCCATTGAGCACAAGGGCCTATAACAGAGCAAGTTAACATCGTAAGTTAGGTATCTATATCTGACGAGTGCCCGGTTATATCGTTTATTATTTTGGTTTCCTTCGTGGCTAGCCTCGCTTTCCAATCCTAATTTAACCTACAGCTCAAAGAAAGGCATCAGATGTTGAACGAGATAGAATCCTTACCAGGAGGAGAGTCAATATCAAAACGTAACCACGTCGACAAGCTCGAATGATCACCTAGAGATCCTTAGCTCAATGCCTGTATAATCTTTAATTTTGGTATGCTCGTACCCTTCTCATCATACCCAATCCATAACAACTCAGCGACCAACGACCGAAGCCTCACCGCTAGTCTACTTTCGTCAGGCCTGTGCCACTGGTAAAAAATGGACACTAATACTTGATCAAAGGAGTCTTGCCCAAATCTCCGGATGGCATTTTTCAGTATCGAGCAGAAGTCACAGCCGCCATAGGAGGACTCGGCAAGGCACGATAAATTAGGAAGTATATCCAGGAGAAAATAATCCAGTTTAAGACGAAACAGGCCGGGATGCTCCTCTAAAGCTCTCGGTATATCCGAGTCGTAGAATTCTAGAACGCTACACCTTTGGCATAGATGGGCGAGTGGCGGCAGCGTGGTGGTCATTTTGAGGGATACCAATCTAAAATGCGTAATTGTACGACAATCAGGGGGTTATTATCAATGGCGCCGAGGGTTAGGTAACTGGTAAGCTTAATGCTACGTCGCATGTGGATTATCAAGTTACCCATCATCTAGCCACAATAGGAATAAATAGGATCTTGAGATCACCTCTGCTTATATTTTTGTAGGAGGCCAATTGCTTCATGTGGTACTAAGCTACTCTCCCAGTCAACATCACTCAAGCTAAGCATGTAAGACGAGAGACTGGTAGTTACTTTAAAGGACATCCTGTGCGGGATCCTTAGGCGTAAGTGTCATGTATTATTTGTTGAACCCTTCTGCATCATAACCTGGCTTATGGATTAAATTCTTGTATACATTGGGTAGGTAGATATATTGGAACAGCAATTAAGTAAAGTTAACCATATGACAATAGTACACAGCTGGAATGCTACATATACACCAATAGATACCGATATCCTTTGGCCCTAACGTACAATACAAATCTAATATAATAAGTCCCTTAAATATTCCCAAGTCCAAGCAAAACGCCAACGGAATAAACACGCTACAAACAACAAATTAAACACAGACGCTTACGACGGGTAAGAAGCTGGATGATGTGCTCTCCTGTCGCCCTCTTCGTGAGCAGCAACCATAGGCATGCCTTTGCATTGCCAAGAAACAACCATTCACAAATATCACGACATAGAGATCGCGATCCCGATAGGCTATTATGGTTGCATATATACACTTTGCCTCGGTACTGCCATGCCGTGTAATTGCTCTCGAAGTTGAAGAACTAGAGCACGAGGCGTTCCTCGAAGCCCGCGACGCCAATATTTCGTGTCTGGACGACAAAGATCCGCCCTTTCTTTCTTGCCTGCATCCATAGATATGATAGTATATGTTGGCTGCATCCTGCGGGCTCATGATACATCATATCCGCGATTACCTGGCATCTGGATACTCGGGTCGGTGATATAGCTGGTGATATTGACACCTTCTGAAAAATCATACTCGAGGCGCGAATCAACTCGGAGATAAACAGCGCCGTTGCACAACTGCGATAGGACCAGACGTATGATTCGAGGATCGGTTCCGAAAGAGGGCATAACTGTGACCCAGGCATTCTCGTATGCTTAAGATAGTCTCGCACCTTAAGATCGTACGACCCAAATACACACACTAGCTTGTATTGATTATGATAGATATTTTCCGTGTGGCATTTGGGTGATACGTTGACGTGTTGGTCATGCATTGGTGCCGAAGCCATAAAGAACGCTGATTGTGACAAGGCCCCACATCCAGAAGACTTCCCGTCGGTAATGTGCAGACTACTGCTGATGTTGGTAGTTGGGATTGATTCGGCAGGGAGACTTGAGATGTAAGGTGATACAGATCGGGTAATACAAAGCAACGTTGAGCAGACTAGGCATGGCGGAATGGGGTCCAAACCGTGCCCAGTTAGAAGAGTGAGGCATGTGACATTAGTTTAGCAACGGAAACGGCTTCGGCTTTGAGTGAAAGGTGTAACCGTAGCGCTGTCAACATATCTGGGCGATACCAACGAAGATTTGGTATTACAAGATAATGTTTCGTGCCATTGAAAGATCCTACCGAGCGGTGTCGTGGCCATGGATCATGGGTTTGGCGTAGAAGGAAACAGGTGTCGATATCCGTGCCGGGAAGGATACTTGCATATGCCCGCGCCTGGCTACGCCGGTATCACATTTGCTTGGGCATTAGTTGTCGCTCGATATGTGGTAGTGGCTTCAACCCCTTCGACGACCGCGCTGATCGTGTAAGGGGTATGGTATGTAGTTTCCTGTCTGCGGAACACCTTGATATGACGAAGGCGTAGCTGGTTGAGAAGTTCGAGGAATGCTAGAGTATAATGCAGGGTCGGCAGAACCAGATGGAATGTCCATTGGGCCAGTAGTGTAGTTGCTCTGATACCTTTCAGACGGGCTTGGAGGTCCAGGCATCCTTTCGATATATGGCTTCTTGCTGCTAGAGCGACCACCTGTCCTTACGCTGACACTTAAACTCCGACGATTATGGCGTGATGTATTAGGCTTTTCTTCCTTATGCTCCGTGTTTTTCCTGATGGAACCTATCGCATCTCTGTGTTTGCTTCCTGATCGTCTTAGTGTAGGCGGTGAGGGTTCACCAGAGCCGCCTCTCATGGTACTGTCTATGACAGGATCCGCTAGGGCGAGATATCTCTGCCGATAATCATCGCGCTGGTCTCTCATATCATCGTAATCGGCTTTAAGTTCCATAACCTGTTCTGACAGTAGCACTCTCTCATCTTCGAGGTTCTTGTTGAGTCGTTCTAGTCTCGTAGTACGCTCGCATTCTTCACGATACCGCTTTTCTGCGTCCCGAGTGAGTCTGTGGGATTTGGTTAACTCGGCGTCTTGGTCGTTACACTTCTTTTGAAGTTGTTCGACTTTCTGGTTCGCTTGACCCAGTGCTTCTTGAAGAGCACCGACGTTATAGAGTTGGTCTTCGTAGTCCTCGGCTGTGAATCTACGATCAGGTCTTCCACCTAAACTAGCCTGTTCACTAGATGACGAACCCACGCCTGAGTCATCACGACTGCGGTGGCTTTTAGACGACCCCTTTGATGAGGTCGAAAACTTGACACGTCTGTCTGACATTTTGTCGTACAGACTGCCGCTAAGAGCTGCGAGCTCTTTATAGGTGCCTACGTGACGGTTCACACTAAGGCGACGACGCGAGGGGGTACCCAATGAATGGGAATAATCGATAGATCAGAGCGAGCGGGGTGGTAGATGGGGAGGTTGTCGAGTCACCGGAATGATGACGAAGGTCTTGACGAGTATATAAATCTGCGAAGATTTCTCTAATATAAGAAGGACTAAGTAATGATAAGATTGCCTTACGGAGAGAAGCAAGAAAAGTTAAGCAGAGGAAAGGGTAATAATTGCTATAAAAGGCGACCTAGAAACTATGATTCGCGAATGGCCGGTTGCTGCCTTGAGTCTTAACAGAATCTTTATGTACGTATATAACACTTACACCACGAGACTAACAGCAACTCTGAGCACGGCAGATATGGGTAGGTATCTGTACTAAATGACATGTAGCTGACCGGTTGCCTCTCACATGGAGTCATGGCTCAAGGCAACACGGAGCCCTGGCCTATATCATCCTTCCCGACGGATGAGCCTCATAATAACTCAAGGGTCGTCTTACCCGAGAAATCCAAGGGTAGCCGAAGGTGGGAGTGCGCCACGGCGGAAACACTCGTTTTCTCACACTCACCGTTAATTGAGAAAAGATGCCTTGCTGACTACCCGTTCCCCCCCACAGCGCGCCACGCAACGCGCAACGCGCAACGAGATGGGAACGGGGGAGTGCAGACGAAAAGAAACAAAGAGAGAGATCCGAAAGGGTGTAGCACTGTTAGACGGCATCTTGTACTTCCCTCCTTGGGATGAGTTGGAAATAAGACCTGCCAACTTTACACCGAAAATCGAGCAAGTTGCCGTATCCGCTTAATTGTCCAGCCCCCAAAACGGTTCGCCTAGAGCGTGATCTAGGTCGCAACCGATATGTAGGTGAGTTAAGATGGCGCAAGGGTTAGTTAGGGAAAGCCCTCCTCATCTACGATCTTGATTTTTGGTGGTGGTTCTGCGCAACTGCGTAGAGTAAGATTGTCCTCGCGCGGGCGTGCAGAATGCCCGCAGAAATGCCTAGCCAGTCATATTGGTCGAATCAGTCAAAACTGACGGCATTGCCTGCAGGCTGGCAAGGTCTCTCGAATAACATCTGAAAGCGAGACAAGAACGGCATAGAGATCCATTAGGAATAAAAGATAGACAGCATGATGACTCACATACAGGCTGCATACATGACGTCTATGTTAATGATATCTATATCTTAACTATTGTTGATCTTCTGTTCGTCATTGATGGTGTCCCTTGTCTGAGAAATGAAGATGGGAAAATATGGAGATGGGAAAATAGCTGTTGCCCAGCAGGGCTGAAAGGAAGGGGACCCTCGACCCTCGCTCTTGTTAGTGCTTGGAATTGGGAGGTACCCAGCTTGAAAAGGTACCACAGTACATGTATATACAAGATTGAGATAAAAAGGAAAGTTTAATATCTGCCAACGTTGAGTCTAATTCGTCAGAGACAAAGATGTGGAAAAACTGCGGGGTTGCTCTACATATGAACTTACACCTAAAAGGGTAGGTATGTGTCGGTAGGTACTTTGATTAGTCACCGCATCTAACTTTAGTAATCCCTACCTCACCACGAACACCGCCACTGCGGCTGCCTTTTATTGGCGAGTTACCATCAAAGAAAACATTCCTCAAAGGTCCAGAACCAGAATCAGCCAACATGCCACTCCATCCACAATCGACTTTTGATATCGGACCCCCGATGGCCTCCCCCGCGATTCATGATCATTAGAGGATTCTTCTACACACCCTCAGTATGTCTAAGTAAGCGGTGAACCCTGTTGCATCCCCTCATCTAGGCTTGCGGGTATGAGTTGGCACTTCAACCATGCACAGCCGATGTTCATTATCAAACTAGGCAACCCCGGGGATAATACGAAAATTCCCGGGTTTACGCCTTCGAAGTGAAATCTTCCAGTTTGCCGAATGTTGAGAAAAGCAAAGGGAAATGAAAGTGCACTTTTTTTTAAGGACAACCGAACAGCCAAACAACCAAACAATCAAACACGAACAAATCCGGTGACACTGATTGCTGAGCTGTCAATCATCGATGTTATTAGTATTACGTACACGCCACTCGGGTCCTACGGCTCGTAGGCAATGAGCCTGAATGGAAGTTGGCGACAAGAAATCAGTTGTATCCATACATATTCGGGTCTCAGTGGGATGTAGCTCAGTCGAGTGCCAAAAATATCTCTGGCTATCTACTGTTTGGAGTTGTGTGGTCCGCGGCTGAGAAACTCTTGTTAGGTCGTTGTAAAGTAGGCAACCAACCAAATTTCTGGTTTCCCTTCCATAATATCCTCCAACCATCCGCCAAACCCCATCTTCAAACATGTCAACCAACAAGTTCTTGCTATTCCATCAACTCATCTACGTTAGCACCCCACGTTAGGTTAGACTACATGGCATCTACAGTTGCGCTGATAGCTAGTCTTGGATGCTGCCACATGGCCAAGTCAAATAATAATCAATTAATAACAAAACGGATCAATATTGGCTAGAGTCAACATAATTATAAGATATTGTAAGTCGTGGTTATTTCTGGTAGTCCAATATATCACTCTCCTAAGCATTCAATATACACATTGCTAAGCTTCTGAGGTAAGCACATATTTCCAAAAGGCAGCCTACGCGCGTATATGTAACACTTCAGCACGAAGCTGCACTTTTGTGTTGTGTTCTGTAGCATACAATCTTGTGGTTCAGGGGTTAGGGGTTAGGGGTTATTATTTACCTCTCACAAGACAACCTCACTAGCAGTAATATCATCAATTTCTCGTTATGATTACGAGATGCTAGGCCATAGATACGCCCACCTAACATGTCGGGCCTAGGCGGCGACTTGATGTTAGGCTGCAGATGACGACTGCTAGGAACACAGGTATCGGTGGCTTTTCCCACTCGTGCGTACACGACAGGTAAGACGAAACAGAACGCACTCCCATCCACGACGAAATGTATACGTGCGATAATGATGGGGTTTAGTTCATTACACTATTCACGATTAATGCCTCAGTCGACTGGCGTGGCTCCCAAAATAGTTCTCACATGACAACTGGTTCGGATCAGAGTCTCACGAGACAAGGGAGCAGCCGACCAGTCAATCTGAGAGCATATCCGCAGGCTCATTCACAGGCTTCTTAGGGGACTAGACCATCATTTTTCCTAACATTTTCCTATAATGTAAGTTCTAACGTCTCTATTCGCTTGTGACAAACTGCCCAAGTCCCCCCTCCGAGCCGTATCGCTCATAGAACTATAAGCTAGCATGTGCTTCATGACAAAAGAAATGAAGCAAAATGAGGGTATCATAATTTGTAAAGGAGATAGTCGTAAACCCAAACGCTAACCATCCATCCATAACTAAGAAGCAAATGTGACATCAATATAACTCGCTCTTCCCTACCCCTACCCCTTCTCCTATGTAGCGCTGCGAATGCTATCCTAAAATATAACCAACTAGTAATGCAAGACAATAGAAACTAGATTACATGAGAGTGTCGGGAATCAGCGTTTCGATAAAAACAGAGCTTACAAGACGTCAAGGCATCCTTCCTTATTGCTGTCAGATCAATCAACAGAATCCTAACCCCCACCCCCCCTTTAACGCATTTCCCAATAGTGCCACTTCTAGACCACTAAAGGGGTGAAATAGCCAAAGTGATATAGCTCTATGACCCTTATACGAAACTGTACCGACGGCGAGAGGGTATCGTAGTTTCGTACCTGTGCAGCATGCGGCATTGCTCCTCGAACTGGGCATTTCTTTCATCAAGGTCCCTACGACGAGCTGCAAGGATACGCTTCGTCTTTTCAAGCCGGCTATTGACATCGTCTAGAGTTGTTTGGTAATCATCCTGTCTCTTCTTGTAGTTCATAATCCTCTGGTTTTGGTCCGATATGGTTTCTGTCATGACACAAACTCGCTTAGACAAGATGTCGTTTTCCTTCTTGAAGCCTTGGATGTCCTTGTCCTTTTGGTCAGCTTCTAACTTGATAGCTTGCACCCGTCGACGAAATCTCTCCGCTGTTTCGCTGTCGAGGGAGCGTGCTCGTCTCAACTCTTCGATCTCGTCAATCATCTGTCGGTTGCAAGCGAGAAGGCGGCTGTTCTCCTGGGTAGAGGCTTGAAGGTCGTATTTCAAGGTCTGATTTTCGCGAGTGAGAACATCGTTCCTCTCAATAAGACCTTTGTTCTGCTCGCGCAGGCTGTTCAATTTCTCGACGGAAATCCCAGCGCAGTCATCGGAGCACCGGGTTCGGTAGTGGTAGCGATGATGATCATGATGGTGCGAGAAGGAATGGGAACGCGTGAACTGCTGTCGACCTGGCGGACACGACCTGATACAGTATTCGAACATATGGAAAGTGACGAAGCGCACCTCTGCTCGAGGGTAAACGCTATATGGTAGAAGATAACGATCGACAGGGCAAATATGAGTTCTAACTGGACAAAGTACAAATTTGCGTTTATGGATTGCAGATGCAGCAGCGGAAGCTAGTAGGTATGAAGACGAATGAGGAGAGATACATAAGCCAAGATTGGCTCCATCAATATGCGGTAGGCTTCATTATAAGTAGACTATACCAGGCATCAACCCCGATAGGCCTCCTCACGAGGCTATGGTGGGGATAAGGGCGTAGCATATGAGTCTAAGCTCTATAATGTTTGATATCACGAGGCTTTGCAGGCTAACCTCATGGCACACTCGCAGTTCATAAAACTGTAGAGGGGGGTGAGGGTGAGATGTGCACTTTACGCGAGCCTCTGGTTCATGCGTGTCTTTCGAAGTACACGCGGTGCGAGGTAACGCCTAAGGCTTAAGCTAAGCTACGTCTTTCATCTTAGCCTCAAGTGGGCTGTATAACAATAGAGTGTTGACCGAAACGTCATCAGGCATGAAGCATCTGAAGACTGAAGGCCGGGAGACCTCAGTTGACTTTGATTTGACTACTGTGTCTCAGCGGGATGTAGGTCACTCGGGGGAATAGCCGAGAAGCTCGAAACTCGAAACTCGAAACTCGAAACTCGAAAATCGAAAATCGAAAATCGAAAATCGAAAAACATCCACGGCCTAAGGCTACGATATTAGACATAATAACGGTAAGAGTTTAAGTCGAGCGAAAATGGTTATATTCTTCAACTAGGTAGTTAAGCGTTTTAAAGCAAGGGGAAAGGTATCATAATAATGTTAAATGATGAACATTGAACATTGGACATTAAAGAGGCGCGATCGTGCATATGTACCTAATGTACCTTAGGTAGTATACGCGGGGTTTATGCATGCCCACCCCGACACCTGCCATGTGGCGCGGGGAGCATGAGTGACCCGACCTATGCCCCGCTCCCCACCTGACTTCACCTAACCTGTGCAGGGGCAGTTTGTGTGAGAGACCTGACATGACCTGACCTGTGTAAAAGTTCAGTAGACCTGTGGAATAAAGTTCATCTAACCTATGGACCAATTTAGCCATTTATAATAGGTAATTGATCAGTACTCACTGAGTACTCACTCTCCTGTGGACCAACTTAGCCGTTTATAATAGATAATTGATCAGTACTCACTGAGTATTCACTTTCTTATAGACTAACTTAGCCATTTATAATCTAATTGATCAATACTTACTTTCTTATAAACCAACTTAGCCATTTATAATCTAATTGATCAGTACTCATTAAGTACTCACTGAGTACTCACTTTACCAATAGCTATTATAATACTCATTAAGTACTCAATGAGTACTCTATAATGATTAGCCATCTTTTATTGCTTAAGTCATTACCTATTATAATCGCTATACAGCAATTACGCCTTATATATTGTGCAACACCTATACAAATAAATATACCTTATAAAAATTCGCTAAATGGTAGGGGTCCATAGGTTAGATGAACTTTATTCCACAGGTCTACTGAACTTTTACACAGGTCAGGTCATGTCAGGTCTCTCACACAAACTGCCCCTGCATAGGTCAGGTGGGGAGCGGGGCATAGGTCGGGTCACTCAGTTCCCCTGTGGCGCGTCTATCATTATGTCGCTAATACGTCTAGATACCTAAGGTACCTACTTAAAGTATCCAAGTATATATGTACCTCTTGATGAAGAGCCAATTACATGAGATGAATTTGAACCATTTAACGGATAGATTGGCACGTACCTGCTTTATCATGCGCACAGACCCTCAGCTGATGCATCCTTGACATCCTTAAGAGATTGACCTGATGAACATAAAAAGACTCCCGACCTCAGCAGCTCAGCCCCATCCCTAGGTAGTCTAGGTTGATTTATTTTAAAGGTCACTAGCCGCAATCATTCATGATATGACTCTAGGTCTTGAATCCTCCGTCAAAAATGGCGGATGGTAATAGAAAATCTCCCATAAGAGGCCTCACCTCCCCCTAGCTTTGAGGCGCTCGAACTCAGCCTTTCTATCTGCACCTCTTACTTTACTATCGCGTCTTAAGCTCAACCGTATTCAACTTGTAAGATATCTACATCTATTCGAATAGTGCGAAGATTAAATCGCCTGAGAAGGCCATAAACACCGACAGAAATGGGAGGATTAAGACGACGGCGCTATTATTCTCACTAAATGGCCCCCTCGTCAGCCGAGCTACACTTTCAGGTGGCGACCTTGTGACTTAACTTACTGGCACCCTTCTCCCAACAAAATGGGATTTAGCCCGTCTTGAAATAAAATTAGATACTAAATAGACTAAAACACCTACCTAGGTGCTTAGGTATTTAAAAAGATACATTCTAAACAATATCACTCGTAATGGTCGTGCGTCACTCTTCCCATTTTCACCGGTTAAACTAATATAATCTATTAATACAACAAGCATTTACACTAAAACATCCTTGTAGATATTAGAAAATTCTACCTACTACCTACCGCGGGCCCTAAAAAAATAACAATGATCGGTTACCATTATAATGGTCAGGGTTTAGCATCACCCTAACCCAGCCTCCACCAAAACCTCCTTCGATAGTCATCGGCCTAGCCGCCAGCCGTACGTAAGGCTGAGAATGTCAAAATAGTTGAATATATATGTAAAAACTTAAACAAGATACAAAGAAGAGGCAAGAAACTACCTACCTAGTTAAGTAAAAGGGACAGCAAGGGGAGCCCACCGTATGATCTATCATGTAAGCACGACATAGGATAATACTGCTCGCTAGATATTTCCTTTATTGCAATCGAAGTATTACTCAGTCTACATGATAAATAACAAAGAAAAAGCTGGGCTCAATCCGTAGTCAGCCACTAACCTATTACATTGTATGTGCAAAAGTCTAAGTCGGGGGTGCCGTAAACCATAACAGATAAAGGAACTTGATATGATGCATCCGCTACATAAGCAATAGCCACATCCGGCAGCCCAGGCAACAGGACATACTAGTTTGCGAGTATAGAGTACATCCCAAAGGACACGGTTGTGGCAAATCCTCCCACATTCAAGTTCCTTAAATTTGGTCATGCTTAGAGCATAACAAGGGGAAGGCAACTGATAAAATAGGAGTTTCCAAGATACCTAAGAGAATACCTAGTAGGGAGCCAAGCCATTTCTGTGTCGGGAAAAATAGGCAGTGTTAATGAGAAAATATGCCCTCATGGACACTAGTCGACGGCGGAAAATGACTTCACAGCTAAAATACTTCAGGTAAGACTCACTACCTAAAATAGTAACAGCTAAATGGCCGATAACTACAGATGCACATTTACTTATAATTTAAGTAACTACTAGCTTCATTATAAACACTTGGGATATATAGCGGTTACATGTAGTAGGTACATATCAAAAAGCTCAAAAGGATATTGCTGTCACGAGGTGGAACCAAACAGCATGGAAATAACTTCGTTGTTCCGCAAGGAACTCTAACCTAGCTACGAGAGTCTACGTCTATACATTAGGTACTGAACATGTTCCTTGTTCTAGATGTCTCATCTAGAATCCTGACAATTGCTATGATATGGGCATCATTACTACCAGCTCGTATACTATCTTGATCAATTACAACGGCAGTTAATATACGTGATAAAATAACGCCTATAAATACCTTAAACGATAGAAACTTGGCTTTATTATTAGTCTTATACTCTCTCAAGTGCGAAATTATTAGGTACTTGTTAAATTAGGTAGCCTTGTAATCTTGCCAGTATAGCCTCACTTGATGATTTGATGGGGTATTACTATACTAAATTAACTGTATAGTAGATTCATACCTAAAAATATAATTTGGAGAATTTGGTTGAACATTAATAGCCGCATCTATCCATTGAGCGTCTTGTGTTATATCCTCAACGAATTCTACATTACAAATAGTCACATCCATCACGGCGGAGCTAAGCTTGAGTTCATTCAGTTGACTTTCATATTGCACCGATGGACGTGCGCCATGGTAAGCTAAGGTAGCTAGCTAATATAGCAGATGTTGATACACGCAGGAACCATTCCTCCCACGACCTCATTTGATCATGTTCTTAAAGCCAACAGGTGTTTAGATACACATGATAAAGAATGGTTATTGGATAATCCCGCTTTGATATTTAATTTGATAAATGAATTTCGACACCCGCCGCCTAGAACATCGCACCACCCAGCCTGATGGATACTGATTTGTTTTGCGTGTAGTTGGCGAGCGCTGCCTCGCCCAGTTCGCGGCCGAGACCACTTTCTTTGTAACCACCACTGTAACACATTAGTATTTATTTAAAGATAACTCGAGAATAAAAGAGTGCTTACAATGGCAATTGGTGGTGGAGGAGGTTGTAGCCTGTGTAGAAGTAATATTTTGTTAGCACATGTACTTGCATGCATAAAGAGGAAAAGGGAATGCATACTGTTAACCCAGACAGTACCAGCACGTAGATCATTGCTGACTCTGAGAGCGGTGTTGAGGTTGCTGGTGTGTACGGCAGCTGCCAGTCCGTAAGTGCTATCGTTGCCTAGATGTACAACTTCCTCTTCGGTCTTGAACTTGGCTACTGCCACGACAGGACCGAAGATCTCCTCTTGCATGATCTTCATATCATGAGTGACATTGGTGAAGATTGTTGGCTTGATGAAGTAGCCCTTGTCTCCGTGACGCTCACCACCCGTCTCAATGGTAGCACCACCCTTCTTACCCTCCTCAATATATCCCATGATGCGGTCATATTGAAGTTTGCTGACCTGCGGGCCCTGGAATGTGCCCTCGTCAAAGGGGTCGCCGACGGAATTCTCCTCTGCTCGCTTCTTGAACGCCGCAATAAACTTATCGTAGATTCCTTCTTGTACGTAAACTCGGGAACCAGCACAGCAACATTGACCGTGGTTGTAGTAGATACCAAAGTTGACCCAGGAAATTGCTTGCTCAATGTCCGCATCGTCGAAAACGATGTTAGGTGACTTGCCACCGAGTTCCAAGGTGACCTTCTTAAGGTTAGAAGCTGCGGCGGCCTTCATGATGGTACGGCCGACGACGGTGGAGCCGGTGAATGCGACCTTGTCGATGTCCATGTGGGAAGCGATGGCAGCACCAGCTATCTTTCCAAATCCGGAGATGATATTGAGAACACCAGGAGGGAAACCTGCCTCCTTGATGAACTGAGCGAAAACGAGACCGGAGAGTGGCGTTTGCTCGGCAGTCTTGAGAACGACGGTGTTTCCGGTGCAAAGAGCGGGTCCGATCTTCCAGGCCAACATCAACAGAGGGAAGTTCCAGGGGATAATTTGACCACACACTCCAAGCTATGGATCGTTAGCGCTCGTTTTCTTTCGGAAAGATCCTCTTTAGGCTTTTACGTACCGGTTCTTGCCTGGTGTAATGGAAAGATTCGTGGTTGATGTCAATGGTTTTACCCTCGATCTTGTCCGCCCAACCACCATAGTATCTGATGCAGCCAACAACGGCATTTACATCACCCCTGGCCATAGAAATGGATTTTCCATTGTCAAGGGATTCAACTGCAGCTAATAAATCCGCATTCTTCTCTAGAATATCCGCGAGTTTAAGCAGGTAGATACCTCGCTGTTGAGGACTAGTTTTACGCCACGAGCCGTTGAATGCTTTTCGGG